AAAGAGTAGGTCTATCTATATAGACCTACTCTTTTTAAATTCAAACAGACGTATATATTTGTTCATATATTCTATATAGATAGACCTACTCTTTTTAAATTCAAACAGACGTATATATTTGTTCAAAAAGATATCTATTATTCATTTATAATCAAATTCATGTAATCAAATAAATCATTCCCTAATTATTTTGCAGATTATCTTCAAATTCGAAAACTTTCTGGCGGAAAAAGGACAAAGTGATCTATTGTGCATACCACGTCATATAATCTCCTCCACAGATAACGAAAACGGTTTTCTAGTCTTGGAAGATGCCTCTTGCTTAGGATTTCGTGCCGTGCCGCGGCAGAATTGCCTAGACTGGGCAGAATGTTCCGCTCTCCTGAGGATATTGTCCAAATTTCACGCGATCTCGTTTGCGTACAAAGATCAGAGGAAGGAAGAGTTTGCAGAAATGGTAGAGTCTTTAACAGAAACCTTGTTCGTCCGTGAACATTGGGAGTGGTACAAAGGCTATCACGTGAGTAACAGCGAAATGTTAACGTCAGTTTTCCCCGGAATAAAGCGGCCTTTTTGCAGGAAAAGGTACAAGGTATAATTAAACACGCATTGGCTACCGAATATCCTGACAGCAAGGCTGAGAAACAGTACAATTCCTACAAGCTCGGTGCTCTCTTCGACAAGTTAACGGAATTATGTAAGAGAAAAGACGCCCCTACATCTGTCATAGTCGAGGGTGATTGTTGGGGTCCGAACTTCTTGATCCGCGACGTTGGGCAAAATCAAAAGCAGGCATTGATGCTCGACTTTCAGCTGGCACGTTGCGCAAGCCCCATCATAGACCTGTCGTCTCTACTTTACGCTTGCACCCTGAAGTCATTTCGTGATCAATATTTCGACGAGATGTTAAAAATGTATCACTCCGAGTTGAGCGGTGCCATTAAATTACTCGGGTCCGATCCGGAGAAGCTTTATCCGTGGGATTTATATATGAAGGAGGTGAAAAGAGGCCGATTTCACGATCATTTTTTTTCTCAGGCGGAGCAATACTGATAATATTAATGTTAACATTAATTAAATGTTAATTGCAGGTGAAGGAGCAATTTGTGTTTGGTGTGTTTTTTTCGCTGGACGCTATTCCATTGTGCCTGTCAGACGTAGCCGAATTATCGTTTACCATCGATACCGCTGTTGAGGGCGACGAGGCAATAGACATCGGTGAGGCGGCACCAGTTTCTTGCATTGCAACTGCAAGCGGAAGACAAAGATTAGCGGACGTGATAGTGCATGCTGTTGAGCGAGGATACATATGATGATGTGTTGAGAAACTGCAAGATCGTCATTTGCTGTGAAGTAGAATTAAAACAACTAACAATTACGTATTATTCGATACAATTAAATATTTTTCTTAGGTCTTAGGAAACTAACATGCAGAAATACTTTATAATACTCCTACATCTATATTATCTAAATAGATGAAACACTTATAATTTCTTCAAAGAGATCCTTGTACTTGTTGAAATCCTTGGGCGTCTCTTAAATATTAATTATTTTCTCTAATTAAAAATATATTTTCGTTAGAACACTCTTAATATTTCTGTGCCCAGTTAATTTTGAAAAAAATGTAATAATTAGATCACGAGATGCTCGTATACAACTATGTCAAAAGCGATGCTTACGCAATATGTTTTTAATGGACAACCTGTCAGTCTTTTTCTCTCTCAAGGTAAAGTAAGATAAAGTCTATTACAAATTTCCAAGTTCTCAGGAACGCTATATATAATCTCCATAGTTCAATATACCAGCGATTTATGTACATTCCATGACTTATCAAAATTTGCGCACACCCTTATCTGCAGTATATAATCGCAAGAAAATATGCAATATCATAGCGAAAGGAAAGTCAATAAAAGCCAGACCGCTGGTGTATATAAATATTTATACATCATTAACAGCTTCGATAACGACTCCCCCCCCCCCTCCCCCGAGAAACGTTTAATTCAACTTTCCACCTCGAAGGAAAAAAAAAGGATCGTTCGTGGTTTTTGCTATCGTCAACGCGATAACAACCTGCTTCCTATCAGTCATTGTAAATGTAATTCTCTATCGGAGAATTATCATCTCATTTTCTTCGGCAACACGTAAGGTTATGTGACTCGCGACGGTAGAAACCTGCGCACGATCCACAGTGTTTAGAACGCCGATGGGGGAGAGAGACGGAGCAGAGAGACCAGGGATTCCGGGTGGACGGCATTTACGACAAATACGACCGTGTGGAGGGGATAGGCTGGCAACGCGCGGCGGCGGCTACGCCACTGCCGTGAGCCGTCGCTACATCACGAACGACGCGTCGCTCGGCCAGCCTCACACGTCTTATAAGTTAGCAGAACAAAATGAGCAGAATCAATTCTAACTAATGAAATTATTTGTTGCTTATTTGTTGCTAAAAAATTGCCAAAGAAAATAATTTGTTGCTCTATTAGTTTTTTTTAAATGAT